AGTAAGACACAACTGAAACAACTGAACAACAGAGACATACATATACACATGTATTTTGTCTCCTCCCATAGAATGTAAGCATCTGGAGGCCAGGGACTATTTCATTTTTGTTTCTGTGTCCCTAGCAAGTAGCACAACCTTGAGCAAGTCATTTTATTGCTATGAGGCTTGGTTTCCATAAAACAAGGGTATTGAGATATATTTGGGGTTCTTAACTATTTTTATGTCATAGACCCTTCTGGTGACAGTCTGGTGAAGCCTATGAACTCCTTCTCACAATAAGGTTTTAAATCCTTAAAATAAAATATGAAGGATTCGAACAGAAACCAATTCTATTGAAATATAATTATCAAAATATTTTGTTAAAAACAAGTTTGTGGACCCTTGGACTAGGTAATCCCTTCCAATTTCACCATTCTGTAATTTTGTTTCCTCAGCAGTTTTAGAAAAGGAACATCAATCCTCCTTCATTAAAGGTGCCTCTACCTTATTGTGGTCTGCAGGTGATGCTGCATTCTCAAAGGTCATGCCAGTGGAGTGTGAGTTCTTTAACCTTATGAAGGTTAAAAGGGTTTGAATGTGAACCTCTTGCCAGAGGGCAACTGTTGTCTGAGGACCAGCTTGGATAAGCTCAGAGATGCTCATCACCAGGGTGACCACAGCATGATTAATATTTCAGATGCTGCAACTTTCAGAGCCTTTCTGAGTGTTTATGATTGTGATCTCCATTGGTGGACAGAGCTCTCACAATGTCAAAAATCACAGGTCCTTGAAGTATTGAAGTAAGTGTTAGTCCTACCTACCAGTCTATCATGGAGACTTTTTTGGGTTTTGGCCAGGAGACAGCAGTGGGATTTCAGATCATTGGTTCCTACAATGTGCTATATTTCCAGGATGGAAAGTCCACCCCTCCAATACAGACCAGCAACTCCATAACTAAATTTAAAAAAAAATCAAAAGTGCTATGCAAATGCAGAATATCATTATTATTATCATAATCAAGAAAGACATACAGGGAGAATGAGAGAGTCAGGGACACAGGTATGATAGGGAATGTACAAAGAATCACAGCTACCAAAGAAGTGAACAGAGGGAATTAGTGACATTCATCTCTGAAACAGAAACAAACACAAGTTACTTAAGCTAAGACATCTGTTTTACGAGGATGTGATGTAAAATTTAGTAACAATAACATTCTTGTTTAGTAACAAGAAACAGGGAAGTTCTCTTAAAGCATGTACACATGCACATATACCCCTCAACATTTTTTTCCTGTGAAATATAGAAATGATATAAATAATATAAATATTTTCTTATATTTCTTATCTATATAAATTATTCTCTTTTGCCCTAAATGCTGTACATGTGAGGTAGAAAAAAAAATACCCTGTCTGAGTTTCTCTTAAAGCGCCAGAATGAGAAAAGCAATCCCCTTAGTTGGGAGAGTTCCAGTGTGCCAATTCAGAGGCAGAGACAGGCACGACAGAGGGAAACGTGAGAAAGGATGTTAACATGTAGGGAGAGAGCGTCACCAACAACTGCTTTAAGTGTATTTTAGTGCCTATCCCTCGGCCGTCACTTGCCTGTTGCTTACAAGTCAGCCTGACGTCCATCTTGTTTATTATCACTGTGCCCTTATGGGCTGTTCCTCAGCCTTCCCCACTAATTCTATTTGGGGATGGGGTCATCCATCATCATAGTAGCAGCTCAGAAGGAGTGTGATGAGAATGGATGGGGATAGGAGCACCAAGCATCTCAACTCCCTTTTCTGATCCCACCCTTCCAAATCATAAACTTCAGGTGACTGGCTGATGAGGTGAAACAGGACGTGGGGCTTTTGATGGGTTGGATGGAGCAAGAGGGAACCCTGATCTGGAAACCTGTGAACAGTGGAGGAGGGTGAGAGGTACATGTTGAGAAATAATCTGTGTAGACTTTTCCCCTGGTGGAGAAAAAACATAAAAACCTCGTACCCCTCAGCCTCTCCTCTCCTCAGCTCATGTTACTGGTTGGTTAATTGACTTCTACCAATAGTGTCCATCTACTTCAAGATCTCATTGAGTAGTTTCTGGGAGCCTTGGAAGCTATTTCTGCTTACTGTTTCATCCCATCCTCCCAAACATCCAACCACCCAACTGCTGTCACATGGCAGGACTTTGGCTCCTGGATTCTCCAGAGTAGGCCACCAGGACAGAAGCCCTTCTGTTTCTTGTCATGGAAGTTGCTTTTCTAGGTGGTATCAAGTACATTTTAGATGCTTCTGCTCCTCTTAAGGATTACATTAATTTCCTGGCTTCAACCAGGGCTGGAATCTCCATGGGTGTGTATGTGTGGGTGGGTGGGTAGGGGAAAATGAGAAAAAGAAGAGGAGAAAGAAACTGACCTGGCCTTCCTTTTCAGAGGGTCAGGTACTTCCCACTTCCCTAAAGCCAATCTGAGAGAAGTGAGCATACACGCAACCACATAAACATTTCAAGGTCCTAATTCTGGGTGAATAACTTCCCTCAGCTTATTGAGTGGCTCTTAATCTGTTGTGGCATAAGATAGATGTGCGTATGATTTCTGTCTTTCTATCTCTCTCAGTTAACATCACATGATTAATATCTACTGGGTGAAGAAAATGAGGAAACCAATAGCAAGGTAATTCATAGGCTTCAGAGCTCGAGGAGACCTTAGAGGTCATTTAGTCCAACCCGTTCATGTTACAGATGAGGAACCTGAAACCCAGAAAGGGGCAGTGATTTGCCCACTGTCATACAGGTAACAAGAAACCGAGTATGGATCTGCACCCAGGTCCTCTTAACTCTAAATCTAAGACCCCTTCCTCTCTACAAGTCTGCCTCTCCTATATCACTCAATCTAAATAAGAGCTTTTGCCTTGATTGTGGCCATTAGTAAGTGAAGGATATTTGCAACTGGCATCAGGGTGCCTAACTTAGCCAAAGTTCTCACATACTAACAACTGATCAGGTTAAAAAGCTTGAGAACAAAAACAAAAGTAGAACTTGTGAATTAGCTGTTTTGCCCATTAGGCTGTGAGCTCCTTGAGGGCAGGGACTATCTTTTGCCTTTTTTTTTTTTTTTAGTATCTCCAGCACTTAGCACAGTGCCTGGCACATAGTAGGTACTTAATAAATGTTTATTGATTAATTAATTGACTTGCTCTACACGTCAGACTGAATGAGTGTACACACACATACATCACACACACACCTGCATATATAAAGTCACTCTTGCTCCATCACACTCATGCATACTCCCATTAAATATAAGTTCCCATTCCCCAGTGCCTCACACATGATATGCATTTAATTCACATTTACATTTGAGGTTTGGACCAGTGCTGTTACAATAGTAACTGGCCTTACTGAGCCTCAGCTGCCTCAATTGATGCAGCCCAGAACCCATAGTAATTTAATTTTTCAGGAGAGGGTTCGCCACTTTTGCCTGCTTTAGCTCTGGGCTGGGAGCTAGACCTCTCCAAGACAAATCTCCAATGTACACTCTCCCCCTCCCTCTCTGGTAACACATGAGAAAACAAGGCCTAAGTACAAGGAAATGTTAAGGTCATTCTACTTCCCTAGAGAGAGTCTACAGGATTCCACCTTCATTGGGAAAGCTCGGGAGAGAAAAGTCAGCATTCATCTTTCAACAGCATGGCACAGTAGGGAAAGTGCTAAGAGGACCTGGGTTCAAATCCTATCCCTGCCATTTTGTGACTTTGAGCAAATAACTGAATCTCTCTGGGATTCAGTTTTCTCATCTTTAAAATGAGAAGGTTGGACTAGATGACCTCTCATGTTACTTCCAGGCTTAAATCTATAACTTCTAAAGACAATACATCACAGAAGATAACTACCCATGGTTTCCCATCACATACCCCAAGGTGCCACCATCAAAGATGGCCACCAGGTGTCTGGGCACTAAGGTATTTATCTTCCTTGGAGTCGTTATGAAATGGGGCTGTTGATCAGAGGAAGTATGTAGAAATAATCTTTTTAAAATAAAATTAGATTTAGGGGCAGTTAGGTGGCACAGTGGGTAGAGTACCAGCCTTTGAGTCAGGAGGAGCTGAGTTCAAATCTGGCCTCAGACACATAACACTCACTAGCTGTGTGACTCTGGCCAAGTCACTTAACCCCAATTGTCTCACCAAAAAAAAAATTAAAAATTAGATTTTTTTGTGTAGGTGATTTCCAGTTTGGAGGTTGTTCAAGGCCAGAGGCAATTCCTGTTATCCAGGGCTCTCTCCTCAAAGTTTGGGTGGTATAGTAGGAGATCAAACCAGGTCCCTGGCAAGGTCACCAGAAGGTGAAAGGATGTAGTATAACATTATTGCAAATCCAGCTAATGATGCTTGAGGAAGGCATTGACTCATCCCAGCCATGCTCTCCTTTCTTTCCCATCAGCAACTGGCTTCCTTTCCTTCCTCAGTATAGAATTGTATCCCAGTATGACATTTTCTCATAACTAGACTGAACTTTAGGGGTCATCTAGTTCTGAACAGGAACATTTTCTACAATATCACTGGCAAGTGGTCATTTACCTTGTACTGACAGGGTGCTCACCTTCCAAGGAAGCCACTTGTGGATCAGGAATTTTTTTCCTGATGTGGGTGGACTTTTTTTTTAGAAAGAGCCCAGAACTCAGGTATCTGTAACTGAAACCTCCCTTGGCATAATGTCAACTTCCATTGACTTCCAGTATTTGCAGTCCACTAAGATATTCAGTGTCCTCTTTGCATCTTGCATCTAATACGGCTAAAATCTCCCTCTCTGTGTCTTCTACCCAATTCTCTCAGTTCAGCCCTCTGGGGGTTCTCCTGACTACTCAAGCTCCAACTCTAACTCATTCTAGACATGAAGAGGGAAAAGCGTCCTCCCCTTTCCCCTTGCCACCCTTATCCTCCTTATTTTTTCCCCTTCTCTCTAGTCTTTCCAACCTCATTTCATTATACTATCTCCCAACTAATGAAATGGGATACTTTGGCGCATCACGGACACTGACACACGGTAGACCTTGAGGTCCCATGTGTCGTCATTCCTCCTCAACAAGTTTTGAGCATGGAGATTATGGAGGAATTAATGGTTGCAGCCAAGGTAGAAAGAGGAAGGAAGGTGTAGGGAGTGGGCAAGCATACATCCAGGTGCACACACTTGACAGTGCGGTTGTGGGTGGTCAGTGTGGTTAGAGTGGAAGCTGGGCCAGTAGGACTGTATAACCGGTCGGGAATGTCTCTAGTCCATCTCAGCATCCTCAGGCTGGGGAACCCGGACCTACTGCTTACATGTGTAGGCCAACTCCTCCTGTACACACTGCTGGCATTCAACATAGCAGCACCACTGCACGTGGCAGTGGCAAGAGAAGGCCACAAGCCGGCTCTGGGTGTTGTAGCCCCGACCGCAGCACAGACTGTCGCAGCTGGCCTCCCGGGAGCAGGCCCGCCCTGCTGTGCCTGGAGAGTACTTGCCGGGCCGGCAGAAGCTAGGCGAGTCGTCGATGTACACCAGGTCGCCGGGCCGAGGGGCCGTGCCTTTGGCTGGGCGACTGGACCTCGGGGGTGCCCACAGCTCTAGGCGCCCCAAGGCTTCGTTGGTGGTGCTGGAGACCTTGACGGCGGAGTCATAACGTAGCTTTAGCAATTGGCCCGTCTCCCGGAAGGGGGAGAGCTGCTTCCAGCAGGTCCTCACGGCACAGGAGCCAGAGACGCCATGACATTTGCATGTGGTCTTCAGACCATTCCTCACAGCCTGGGTGGGAAGGGAGAGAGAAGAGCCCCTGTTAGCTTGGGCCAGGGCTTGGGGGGGGTTACCTCTCCCACTGATGGAACCTCCCTCACCTTCCTCCTCTGTCCTAACGCACCCTCCTATATCCCCCTAACGTTCTCTGAATAAATCATATTGCCATTCTCCAGAGCTTGAGCAATGAGAGAGACTAGGGAAGAAAATGGAGGAAAGAAAGATAGAGGGAAAAGAGAAAGGAGAAACTCCTTTCAAGGCTCAGCTCAGGTACCTCCTCCTCCAGGAAGCCTTTACTGATCTCTTTTGTTGGTGGTGGCCTCCTTCCTCAACTTACCTTATATGTTAACATATCCCTCAGGGGAATGTAAGCTCCTTGAGGCCAGAAACTTCTTTCATTCATAGAATTACATATTTAGAGCTGGAAGGGATTGTAGAGGTCATCTGGTATAGTCTCCTCATTGAACAGATGACCCTTGAGAATGGCAAAATGACCTTTTCAAGGTTACAGAGGTAGTAAGTATCAGAACTAGGATATTGAGCCCAGTTCACAGGGTCATAGATCTTTAGCAAGAAGGAATCTCCAAAGTCATCTAGTTCAACATCCTTATTTTAAACACCAGGAAAGTTAAGTGACTTGCCTGAGGTCATACAGGTACTAAGGGTCAGAGGTGAGATTTGAACCCAGCTTCTCTGCCTCCAAATCCAGGGCTTTTTCTATGGCACCATACTGTTTCTCTATTGTCTCTCTGTCCCCAGTGCCTAGTGCAGTGCCACGTGTATAGTAAGTGCTTAAGGAATGCTTGTTAGGCTAAGTTAGGCTCGGTGGAAGAGGGTCCTGCCAATAGGTCTTGATGCCCAGCTGTTCGGTTCTGTGCTCAGGGGAGACTGAGGCTGCCCTGTGGGGGGATGCCCACCTTGATACCCATGTTGGTGTTGTGGGCATCCATCCGGGCGCGAAGGTCCTTGCTTCCCTTCTTGGGCCCCAGGAAGTTGCTGAGGAATTTGGTGCTGTATTTGAGGTTGTCCCCACACACACCCCACTGCCAGGCCTGCCGGTTCTCCAGGTCCGGGGAGTCATCACAGGTACAGCGTTCCATTCGGCCTGCACTGCAGGCCCGGGCCAATGCATGGGTGAGGGCCGCTGAGGATACTGCATATAGGAAGGCCGTCTCCTTGAAACCTGCACCAGAAAGGGAGGAAAGAGGCAGGAGCAAAGAGAGAGAAAGAGGAAAGGCTGAGGTCCTAACAGTGAATACTGTTTGGCCCTCTTGGGGCCCTGAGTGACAGCAGAATGTTATAATCATAGACTATCAGAGTAGTGGTAGATTGCAGAGATCTGGCACAGCTAGCCAAACAACTGGTCAATCAATAAATATTTATGTGCCAGACTTTGTGCTAAGTGCTCGGGATACAAAAAGAGGCAAAATACAGTCCCTGTCCTCAAAGACCTCCTAATCTAGTGGGTGAGAAGCAAGTAAAAAAAAAATGTGTGAACAAGCTATCTACAGGATAAATAGGAAATAATTAGCAGAGGGAAGGCACTAGAATTAAGAGGGGTTGGGAAAGGCTTCCCAGACATGGGGGACAGTCTCATTTTACAGTGACCCAGAGTGGGAGGGGCTTGTCCGTGGTAGAACAGCAAGTTAGCAAGAGTTGGGGCATGTGAGACCCCAACTAGAACACTGAAAATGCTTCCCTGTCACCCATCTCCTCTGCTCTTGAGACATGACATAGACCGAATGTGCAAATTCCATCTCTCCAGGGTTTTGGGTTCAAAGAGAAAGTATTTGAATGTAAACCCGGGAAAGATGGAATAACAGCCATAAGTAGAGTCACTACTGGTCCAGATCTGCCATTGGAGGTTCCTTCCAAAGCTCTCTGTCTTCTACTTTGGCTCTGATATTCTTTTTTTTTTTTTTTGGTTAGGCAATGGGGCTAAGTGACTTGCCCAGGGTCACACAGCTAGTAAGTGTTATGTGTCTGAGGCTGGATTTGAACTAGGTCTTCCTGAATCCAGGGCTGGAGCTCTATCCACTGCACCACCTAGCTGCCCCTGGCTCTGATATTCTCGAGGCTTGAAGGTTGAGAGGCAGTCCACCCCCCTGCCACCTCTTCCAGGAAGCCTTCCCTGATTCCTCCTGCATTGGTAAAGCTCTTTCTTCTTATACCACTTTTATTTTAAACAACTTGTCTGCATGGAGCTTTACCTATGTTTATGTCTTATCCTCCTACTAGACTGTAAGCTCTTGGAGGGAAGGGAGATTGCCTTATAATTATACTTTGTATTTCTGTCTTAAAATTGCCTTATAATTATACTTTGTATCTTTGTATACAAAGTATACTTTGTATCAGCACTTAAGTATGATCTGCACATGATAGGTACTTAACAAATTTAAAATTTTAAATAATAACTAAATTTTAATTGAATTAATTTATTAATAAATAGGTCCAGCTAATTATCAAGTTGCTTAATTTAATTGAACAATAATTAAATTTTAAGTAATAACTGTTAATTTTAAATTAAAGTTGAAAGAACTTCACTGGCCTTCTTGTTCAACCCATCTTAAAAGAAGTCCCTGTCAAAAATGGGAATCCAGTATGGGTACCTATCAACTGGGGAACGGCTGGACACATTTTGGCATCTAAATGTATTATTGTGTTGTAACAAATGATGAAAAAGATGATTTCAAAGAATCTTGGGTAGCATAAACTGATGCAGAGTCTTATGAGCAGAATTAGGAAAACAATTTATACAAGGACTACAACCCTATAATTAAAAATACCTTTGAAAGACTTAAGAATGATCAAAGCAATTACCAACCATGTCTCCAGAGGACCCGCAAAGGTAAAGTATCTCAAGTACCTTGTATATGAGAGGTAAGATATTTAAGGTACAGAAGGAAACATATTTTTTGAAATGACCACTAAATGGATTTGTTTTTCTTGACTATACTTATCTGTCACAAGTGGTTGGTATTTTTCTTTGTTTGTAATTGGGGTGAAGAGTTAGCAATAGTGATGTAAAAAAAAAAGGCCATTGAAAACTTTCTTTTAAATGCAGAGAGGAATAGAAGAGAATTCAGAAGGAAGTACAGACTAACAGGGCAGTTTTGAAATTAACACACGGACTTTATTATGCACTTTTAAAAAAGTAAGTGATGAAGATTCATGGTTTCTTACACAATCCTCTTTTTGAATTCTGCTATATGTATGTAAATGCTTGTTTTATTGGTGTTTAAATTCAGAATTTTAAAAAATTAAAAAATAATTAATAGATTTGGGAAAAAAAGAATGGGAATTGAAATAGGGGATCCCTCTGAGATTACTTTCCATTTAAAAAACATATGTATATATTCTACCTTCTACAGGAAGCCTTCCCTAACCCCTCTTAATTCTAGTGATTTCTCCCTTTGAAATGATTTACTATTTATCCTGTATATAATTTTCTTTGTATATATTTGTATCTGTGTGTTGTCTCATCCATTAACTGTGAGCTCCTAGAGGGCAGGGATTATCTTTTGCCTCTTTTTGTACATTGCTTAGCACAATGCCTGGCACATAGTAGGCACCTAATACATGTTTATTGAATGAATGTGTATATGTATATATATATATATACATACATATTATATGTATTATATACATATATTTATATATGCATGAATACTATTGTACGTATGTACATACATCCATATAAAGATATTTACATACACATATATACAGTTTCCTTTGTCCCCTATGCCCATCATTCTCATTCTTATCATTCCACTTGTGTTATTACTCCATTTAAATTAATACTCTGGTATCCTAGAAAAACTATTAGACTGAGATTCACTGACTGAAATCACAGGATATCAGAGCTTTAGAGATAATCTGGTCCAATCCCTTAATGTTACAGAGGAGAAAACTGAAGCTCAGAGAAGAGAAATGATTTGTCCAAAGTCACACATACATATACACACATGCATGTATATATATGTACACACACATGTGCATGTATATATAATACATATATAACACATATATGTTTATATGATTGCAAATAAGTATGCAATATGACATAGAAATATTATATGTAACATTATAATTACATAATGTTTTAAGTCTAAATGTTATTATCCCCCCAATATACTTATTTTTCAGAGAAGGAAACAGAAGCTCAGAAAGGGTATATTACTTGTTCAAGGATAAGCAGTCTTACAATAATATAATAATTATTATATTACAACATGCAATATTGTATATTATAATATAATCATTGTAAGCATCATATAATACGTTGTTATATATGAATATACGTGTTGTATTACACAGTTATTTGCGTGCCCTTCCTCCATTAGAATGTGACCTTCTTGAGGGCAGGGACCATGTTTTTACCTTCGTTTGGATTCTTAGCACTTAACACTGTACCTAAGTGCTTTAAAAAATTCTTGTTGATTGGCTGAAGGAAGCATTTACCTCTTTTCAGGAGCGCTGTTCTCCCCTCCAGACTACAGTTCCAGCGCTCGTGGCGGAACTGGGCCTGGCACTCAAGGACACCCAGGTGCACAGCATCATACAGGGTCTCAGCTAGGCCTGGCTCCCGCCGACATAACTGCTTTTGCTTACGGGAAAGCTTCAACAGGTCACACTGCTTCAGGTGGGCTCTGCTCTGCAGGGGAGCCGTGGCTGGGCCCAGTCCTGGGAAAGGAGTCAGAGCTTCTCTTCCTGTCAGGCTAGTGGGAGCCGGGGCGGGGGGGGGGGGGGGGGGGGGGGGGGGGGTGGTAAAAAAAACAAAAAAGCTTGGTTAAGTCCGATGAGGAGAAGGGAATGAGTGGAGTGGCACCAGTCTGGGGACACTGGGCAGTGGTGGCCTTGTGGAAAGAGCCTTGGAGCATAGGTTCGATTCCCTGCATTGCCACTTCTTAGCTGCTTAGACTTGGGTAAGTCATTAAATCTTGCTAAGGTATACATCTGCTCTCTGAAAAGTATGTGTGTGTGTGTGTGTGTATTTGTGTGTGTAATAATACTTAGATTTAAAGAATTATATAAATGTAGAGTACCAGCATTGAGGGTAGTAGATAGAGATTTAGCCTTGGAGTCATAAAGACTTGGGCTCAAATTCCTTCTTTTGACACCCACTAGCTTAATGACCATTAACCTTTTGTGCCTGAGACAACCCTCTAAGACAATAAGTTACAGATGAGTTGCCAATATGCATTGGAGGATGTTCCACTCTAAGAGTTCCTTATATTGATGAAAGCATAGGTCCAGCCTCCTAAAATATTATCATGGCTGAGATGGAATGGACTTCCCAAAGAATAAGCTTCAAACCTAGTGGTCTGTTACTTCTGAAAGTATTAGTCCTTTGCAACCCAGGCTCTTGATGCCTTTCTCAATGTAGAACATTTATTTGTCAAGTTCCTTTTCCACCATGTTCGTCTTGATCCTTTCCCTCTCAGGGTGTCTTCCCATTGCACAGATGAGAAGACTGAGATTTAGGGAGTGAAGATAATTTGTGCAAGGACACACCTTGGCTGTAGAGACAGAACTAGAACACTAACTCAAACTGCGTCTCCTCACTGAGGTCAGATTTGATTAGGCCAAAGTCATGATGTTATTAAACTGGGAGAGACAGTAGAAAGAACTCTGGAATGGGAATCCATTGACCTAGGTTCTGGTCCTTGCTCTGCCCCTAATTAGCTATATGATTTTGAGCAAGTCACTTCCATTTTCTGGGTTTCAGTTTTCTTTTCCAGATTATCTCTAAAGGCCCTTTCAGAACTGACAACCTGTGATTCAAGTCCACTGAAACTAAGTCTAGTAGCCTTTCCAGAATGTCAGAGTATCAATATAAGTGGAGTAAGAACAGGAGAAACAATATAAGTGAGAACGGTAAGAACGAGTGTGATAGGCTTAAGGGAAAAGGAGACTGTTTCTTGAAGGCTGGAGATAAGGTTAGATATATGACTTCTAATGGTCTAATAATTGCTTGTATTCCCCAGCTAGGCTCCTTGAATGTTGGGATCTGTCTTCTTATGTGCTTCCTCTCCCTTTCCTCCATAATGCCTAGTACAGTACTGATCACACAGTGGGCCCTCAATAAGTTCTGACATGAATAACTGAATTGACCTCCCTGGGTCTCAATTTTCTCATTTGTAAAATATGGACAAATAATCTTTATGATATCTCCCTCACAGAGTTGTTGTAAGAAAAGGGTGTGTTAGGAAATGTTTAATAATTAACTTGTACACTTTTAAGGCTAATCTGCATAATTAACATTATCTCTATCACTTTTAAAAGTCTAGACAATGAATAAAACAATAAATTAAGCCTTGATTTATAGTCTTTTTGGTATAAATGCCTACACTGAAAATTTAGCAATCAGTTCAATGGATTTGAGCTGGCTCCCTCTGATTAATGCACCTGGAGAAATGTGAAAATATTTTTATTATCATTTTATTTGTAGCAGCTTCTACAAGATGATTCATCTCTGTGGGAGCTGGAGGAAACCTGAGGGCTGTCACAGGGGAAACCAAGTCCTCAGGATATTGAAAGCAAGACTACCTGAATGCCATGAGTTCACGTGAGAGATCAGGAGATATGGTGAGAGGCATGCAGGCATGCAGCTTGGCCCTTCCTCTTTTTGCTTTTGCAAGCGTTTTGCCCTGTATTGCCTGATGCTCTAGAATATCCAGTTCCCATTCTATATAACCCTTTGCAAAACTTAAATGAGTTTTAATAAAATCATGAGACCTCTGAAAAGGTACTTGTCTTTTAAATGAGACTGGTGGATAGAGAGAGATTACCCAGTCAAGAAGGTGGGAGGTGGGAGTTAGGTGTTCCCAGGGAATTCCTCCCTTTCCCCCTTAGAGCATGCTTAGAATTTTCATTGCTGGTTCCAATGACCATGTGGGCGCTGTGGGGCCTCTGTCCAGCTATGTGGTGGCCTGGAGCTGAAAGAATTTTAGCATGATGTAGCCCCATTTGGGGAAGCTAGAGGGTGCAGTTGATAGAGCACTGGATCTGGAGTCTAGAAAATCTAAGTTCAAAATCCAACCTTTGACACTTACTAGGTATGTTACTCTGGGCAAGTCACTTAACCTCTATTTGCTTCAGTTCCTCCTCTGTAAAATGGGGACACATTGGAGAAGTAAATGGTAAACCACTTTAGTATTTTTGCCAAGAAAACCCCATGGACAATATCCGTGGGGTCACATAGAGTTGGACACAACTGAACAATTGAATAACAACAACAAAGTCCCATGACAGCCTCAGGAGGGACAGGTGCTGCCATCAGTCAAAGGAAGACACAACTTTTGGCTCAGTCTCTTGGCTTTGATCCTTCCACGTGGCAAGGAGTACGCTTTGTCCCTAGACTCCCGTGAAAGAGGTGGTGACACAGGGAGTACTCATTTCGCTCCCCAAAGGGGAGCGTAGACTCAACAAAGCAAGCTTGCGCCAGGGCTTCTGGCCGCCATTTGTGTTTTATGTTTCCTTTCTTGAATAATTGACTGAATACATTTCACCAGGTGGACGTATCTAGGTTTTGAGGTGACTTGTCAATTTAAGAGGTCCAGGGGTCCAGATAGCTACCAAGAGTGTTTTCCAAGGTGAAATGGTAAATGTTCTGATAACTGGCCATTGTTCCCAGATGGCTCCAGAGGAGAAAGTGAGGCTGGTGACTTTGCACAGCCTCCCTCACTTAAATCCAATTCACTTGCAAGTCATGGCATCATCTTCCTGATGTCATGGTCCGCTTGGACAAACCACAACAAAGATTAACAGTCCTGAAGATGACTTTGTATTCTGATGAGATTTGAGTATTAGCCTCGGTGCTTGTAACAGTATTGATAAGTTGTTACTGAATCCTATTCTGTTCACTCATGCTTGTGTTTTTTATATTTAGCATTTCTTGAGTGGTAGGAATAAACAATCTATGTAATTTATATTATATGCTGAGTATCTTTTATTACTTATCCCTCCTCTAGAGGCTCTAGAAATAAAGTGTAACCTAAAATTGCTTCTGGAGAATTGGGGGGAAGATGTAAATGAGCTGAAGAGTGTAAAAACAAGGGCCCTAAGCCCTCTCAATATAGGAGGACTACTCCATAACTGAATCTAGGCCAATGACATGTCCGAATCCAGAGCAGAGAAGTATGAGTACTCCAGTCCCTTGGGCTCAGAAGAAGTTCCTCAAGATTAAATATTGTTGGCTAAAGCCATGTTGAGATTTCAATCATTTTTAAAAATAGCTAACATTTATAGACCACTTTAAGGTTTGCAAACTGCTACTAACATATTCTATCTCATTTGACCTTCACAACAACTGTGTGAGGTAGATGTGATTATGATCTCTATTTTGCAGAGAAGGAAACTGAGCTAGAAGCAGGATTCAAACTTAGGACATCAGGACTCCAAAACCAGTGCCTGATCTTGCTGTGCCATCTAGCTGCCTCTCGATATTTCACAGCGATATCCCATTTTCTTTCCATACTCCTAGGTGCTGCAATAGATAGGGTATTGGGTTTGGAGTCAGGAAGACTTGTCTCAGACATCTGCTGGTTGTGTGATCCTGGGCAAGTTACTTACCTTCTGTCTACCTCAGTTTCCTCAACTGTAAAACAGATATAATAATAGTATCTACCTCACAAGATTGTTATGAAGATTAAGTGATGTAACATATGTAATGTGCTTTCTAAACCTTAAAGTGCTATATAAATGTTTGGTATTATTTGTTGTTGTTCAGTCATTTTTCAGTCCTATCAGAGTCTTCGTGACCCCATTTGGGGTTTTCTCAGCAAAGATATTGGAGTGGTTTGCCATTTCCATTTCCAGTTCATTTTACAGATGATGAAACTTAGATAAACAGGGTTAAGTGACTTGTCCAGGGTCACAGAGCTAGTATGTGTCTGAGGTCAGATTCTAACTCAGGAATTTGAGTCTTCCTGACTCCAGAGCCAGCTCTCTATCCACTGTATCACCTAGTTATCCCATTATCATTATTATGTTAATATTAATATTGAGTATGGGCCAAAGCACTCATCACACCATGACTCAGGGGAGCTCAGGGTGGTAGGAGGAGGAGGAATCCAAAAGTTTGTGACTGAGTACCCTCTAATGAGTAATGGAAATACTGTCTTTGTGAATGGTGCCACAAAAGCACCTGGAAATCCCTACCAAACCACTTGGCTAACACCCACTGGGAGGAAGATTATTCTCTTGTTGGTTAATGGATTAAGAAAGCGACAGCTTGCTTCTGTAGGTTTGCGGGAAACAGGGCACCAGCTAGGTGTGCGCTGTTGTTGCCATAGAATCTTTTTTTTTTTTTGGCTAGGCAATGGGGTTAAGTGATTTGCCCAGGGTCATACAGCTAGTAAGTGTTATATCTGAGGCTGGATTTGAACTCAGGTCCTTCTGACTCCAGGACTGGTGATCTATCCACTGCGCCACCTAGCTGCCCTGCCATGGAATCTTACGTGTCATGTTGGGACACCTACCAAGTAGAGATGCAACCTAAATCCCATTAACCAACCTATTCAATTAATTTCCATTTGATCCAACCCATTGCCCTTGCCCTTTGAGATCCCTGTGGATTCCAATTCTATCTACAAGTCCCAGCTGACATCAGTATTTTAGAAGCCCTTTTTATCCATCCTTTGTTTCAGAGAGGACCAATGACATCATGGGGTGATGTCTTGACTTGTGATGCAGATTTAAGTGAGGCAGAGTTGCA